AATCTCGGCCTTCCTGGTACCGCTTTCTCCTTCCACCACGAGGTGACTTGGGACCCCGCTGGCTTCCGCTTGGGCTCCGGCGCGGTCGGCGTCGGAGAAAACGCTGACGCGGGGCGCGGATGCCCCGTTTGAAGGGACGTGGTAAATGTGACGGCTCCCGGCAGAGACGGAACGGGAGGCTTTCGGAGCACGGCGAGAAAAACCCCCCACGGTGCGCAGACTTCAGATCGAGCCTGAGTGCTGAAGGTTTTCATTTTAATCGTACTCGCCGAGAGACGTAAATCCGTGAGCGATGTGTATCAATGTTTGAGAAGCTGAGTTCCGTGCGTCAGCGTCAGCGCTGTGAGAGTTGGCCCACGCGTGCTGTGTGGCTTTTTCATCTCCATAGAGGAGGATTGGGAATTGGGGGGGAGTATGACGGGGTACCTCACAGTAGAAGCCTTAGACTCCCGGGAGCACCCACGCCTTTTGACTCTGAGAGCCTGTGTGAAATCAGGGTCTCAGAAGGGGAAAGGAAATTTTACGATTCCTAAGAACAATAGCTGATACTTTTCCTGCCAACAGTTTACAGGTACCTTTCAAGAATATTTTACTGACCTCGGGAAATTGGAATACTTTGTTATTTTGTTACCTTACTTGTATTCTCATCTTCCTCTCCCACCCCCACGCCGCCCCCCACCCCGTCCTTAGGCCATGGAATTTTTAATGTTTATAAATGCATTTTTTAGTTTGTTTGTTTGGGGTTTTGTTTTTGTTTTATTTTGTTTCTGAGTCATAGTCTATGTAGTCCTAGCTATCCTGAAACTTATGTATAGTAGCCTGGCCTCAAAGTCACAGACATCCACCTGCCTCTGCATCCCCCATCCCCACCCCATCCCTCAGTGCTGGGATTAAAAATGTCCACCACTATGACTGACCTCATGCTTTAGTTTTTAGAACAAGATTATTAATATAAAACAGTATTTCCTGAAGCTAGGCCCAGGAAGACAAATTTCGAATATTTTCTCAAATGCTCGAAATGTAGATTTGAAGCTAGACACACACGTACACATTTGACATAGAAGTAGAAGGGAAGATAGGGATAAGAAAGGCAATGAGGGGAAGAAAGTTACCTCATGTTCTCTCTCTATCCGGGAATGATTATGTCTGTGGCAGAAAGCAGAGGACTGTTTGGAGACAGAGGGACGATGAAAATGAGCAAACAAAGATATGTACATGTATGAAAATGTCATAGTGAAACTGAATGCTAAGTAAAATAAAATGAAGGCCGTTTACTTCTGTAGATTATCTGATTTGGGCATGAACACAGTCAGTTGATCAAATGATTTTTAAAAGTGCATTTTTTCCATTTCTCTCTTTTAGACTCATTTCCTTGTACAGTGGGGGTGAATGTGCAGGAAAGGAATGACTGTTTGATGATCTAAATAAATATACAACTATTGATTCGTGCATCCCAACCGTTAAGTATCAAATGAAGTATTTCCTAGCAGTGAGAGAGCGAGTGCTGAGGTATGCTGATGTCGTGTGTCTCCATTAACAATAGCATACACAAGAGAGATGGTAAGTGAGGACTGACACTCACCACCTACTCACCAGCCGGCTCATCTGACCTCTGCTGTCTTAGGCGGTAAATGAGTGGATTTGACTATTACATCCCATATCTGTCATTTTCAAGATTTGAAACATCACACTGAAACCATTACAGTTAAAGTAATTTCTCATCACACATGGTGATACAGTCCTGTGATCCTGGCATTTGAGAGGTAGGAGCAGGAGGACAAGAAGTTCAAGGTCTTTCAAGGCCATGTGAATGCCTGTCTAAAACACTAAAGTCAAATAAATTTTCAAATATTTTATTTTTACTGTATGTGTACCAGTGTTTGCCTGCAGGTATCTATCTATGTGACCACATACGTGCCTGGTGTCTGTGGAAGCCAGAAGAGAGCATAGTACTCAAGAGGTATTTTTTATATAGACAGTGTTTTGCCTGCAAGCCAGAAGAGGGCACCTGATCTCATTAGAGATGGTTGTGAGCCACCATGTGCTTGCTGGGAATTGAACTCAGGACCTCTGGAAGAACAGCCAGTACTCTTAACCTCTGAGCCATCTCTCCAGCCCCAAGGATTCCCTGGAATTTGAGTTAGAGACAGTTGTGAGCTGCCTTAATAGGAAACAAATTCATGTCCTCTGCAAAATCAACAAGTGCCCTTCCCATCAGCCATCTCTCCAACCCCTAAAATAGCTTTTGCAGCTACTGAGTAAAGAAGAGTGCCTTTTTTTTTTTTATCAGTTGGTGTCATGCCAGGAAATTTGAACCACGCATCTCCTACACTGTAATTCAGAAAATCTGTCCTTAATTTTAAAGTGCACTGGTTGTGAAGTTATTGTTTCTTAATCCTGTAATACACTGTTTCCATGCCTACTCCTAAACTTGACGAATTTGAGCGAGCAAGAATATGGTTGTGAACACCCATGCACCTTTATAAATAAAAATTACAAACTGATAGTTTGAACGAGAATATCCCCAACAGGGTTGTTTGAATGTGGTCCCAGTTAGTAGAACTGTTTGGGAAGGACTAGGAGGTATGGCCCTGGAGTGGCCTTGTTAGGATAGGTGGGTCATTGGGTTGGCTCCCTTGCTCTCTACCTGCCACCTGTGGGTCAGGATGTAAAGCTCAGCCACTGCTCCAGTGACATGCCTGTCTCTTCCTGTCTGGATAATAGTGGACTAATGCTCTGAAATGATAGGCAAGCCCCCAATTAATGCTTTTTAAAAAGTTGCCTGCTCCTGATATCTTTCCACAGCAGTAGGACAGTAACTGAAACAAATCTTTTCTGCTGCTTTAGACAAAGAGACTTCCAAAATGATATAGAAAGCCAAATTTAAATTCAGAATTTTCAAAGCCTGTTATGCCCCCCTCCTTGTCCCACTGATTCCATTCTCCCATTATCCTGCCCTGACTCTCTACCCAATATTAAAAAAAAAAAATTAGCATATATACAATGTGTTTAAGTTCATATGCTGTGTTCCTGAAAATAGTGGCATAACCAACAGCTCAGTGTGCCCCTGGGATCTAGGCACTATGAAGTATTGCAGGCTCCCAGCAGGTTTCTTGACCTCATGATCCTCTTGCCCTCTGTGACAGGAAAACAGCTGAGTAGAAAGGGACATTTTACCTAGACCTGAGGACAGTACTGTGCTGTAAAACATGCCTAATTATAGCTAAGTTCCAGGATAGTAGCCACTAAAAGTCTGTCTCTGTATGACCAGTGTTTCCTTTCAACTGTATCATACCTAATAATGCTGTACTGGGAAAGAGTTTCTGCCACGTCTGTCCTCAGCACCTTTTGGCATAATCTTTGTGTCTACACGGTACATAGTATGCGCACCAGAGAACAGCCTCAGGTGTTGAACCTTGGATGCCATCCATCTTTTCTTTTTTTAGGACAGGCTGTCTCACCGGAACTTACATGGGCTTTTATAAAAGGCAAACAATGGGCTCATCTGCACGTTCCTTTACTCACTGAACCACATCACCAGGCCTGTGGGGTTTGTTTTAAAGATTTATTGTTTTTGGTTTTTTAAGACTGGGTTTTTCTGTGTAGCCCTGGCTGTCCTAGAACTCAGTCTGAAGACCAGGCTGGCCTTGAACTCACAGAGATCCTGCCTCTGCCTCCCAAGTTCTGGGAATAAAAGCGTGTGCCACCACTGCCTGACAAAATTTTTATTTGTTTTTCTCTGTGTATGTACATGTGGGTGCCCATGGCGGCCAGGAAAGGACAGCAGAGCTCCTGAAACTGGATTTACGTGAGGTTGTGAGCCTCCCAATGTGAATGCTGGGATGTGAACTCAGGTCCTCTGCAAGAGTTGCAGTGCTCTTGCCCACTTAGCTTTCTCCCCAGCCCTGTGTGGCTCTTTTTAAAACATTTACTAGGAGATCAGAGTCAAATGTTGAAAGTAGCCACATAGTGTAGCACGATAAATAAAAGACCCAGAGACTGGTATTGGGGCTCAAGCTTCAAGCTGAAGATCAGGAAATCAAAGCAGTCAGGCCACTAGCTCGTACCTCTACCTCAGGCTGAAAAGGCTTATCCTGTCTCCCTAAGTTCTCATCAAGCCTCAGATTGCTGCCTCTTCTCAATGTGACTGGAGAACCAATCTCCACATGAGACCCTTTGCCTTTTATGCCTCCCTAGTGCTGAGATTATCTTTGTGTTAGCTGTTTCTCTTTAGGACTGGATCAATTTCATATAGCTCAGTGTGGCCTTGAACTAACAGAGATCCATCTACCTCTTAATCCTGAGTCCTGGGATCACTACTGCCTGGCTTCTATAGCTAATTAATATGACTACTTTGCTATTTTGATCTCCAGTGGCTTTAATAAATCATAAACAATGCATTGCTACAATTCCCCCCTTTTGTCTAATACAAAAAAAGAAGGCTACAACTAACATAAGAACCATTAATAATAAATACAATAAGTACTACAATATATACAGGCAATAAGTTCATCAACAATGTCTAATCCATTTGCATTTGACAAATTCAGAGAAGCTACTTCATTATCTATCCTATCTTGGTGAGTCCAAGTCTTGTGCCTAATTTACTTTCTATTCTAATTTGCTTTACCAACTCAAAATTATCTTTTTTATGTCTTTCAATCTCATATACTTTACATTTGTTTAGTGAATTTCTTTTGTGAATATGATAAACAAGGAAAACTATAACTATACTATTTAGTCTTCAAGTCTTTCAGAGACCCAAGAAGGAAATACTATTAACTAAATAAGCAGGAAGTGCAAGCAAGTGACTTCCAAAAAATGTGAGAAATGACAAAAACAGCTGGCTGCCTGGACAGTCACCCAAGTGTCTTCTGCAACATTGGGGCATCCATCTTCGACCTATAGGCCTAGGATCTCTGACAGACTTTTCTGTGAAGCAGGATTTTCTGAAGGACTGTCCCACCTTGTAAGGTTTTGCAGTCATCCTTTTGTGTCCTGTTTGTCCTATAGGACAGCATACTGTCAGCAGTTGAGGCCAGGGCACTTTTCTTGCCACAAAGAAAGTAAAGCCCATCATCTTCTCTGAAGTATATTGGTGCTGCCAAGAGTGACATGTCTCATTGTCATAAAAAAGAACCTATGTTATGAAAACATCTAAAATGCCATGTTCTGTAGAGCTCTGAATTGTTTGAAGACGACCTGTCTTTCTAAAATATATCTCTGTTGACGTTGTAAACACACCCAATGTGATTACAACTTTGTAATAATTGACTAATTACTAACCTACATTTCCTTATTATCTTATATAGTTGGTATTAATAACTTTCAAGGACTAGAAATTTATAGTACATTGATATAAATGAGCTGTATAGGTACAATACCTTGAACAATATTAGAAACATATGTACAGAATGTTTTAACCAATTGATTTCAAAATTGTATCATTGTACAGTATTTGTATACAATATACAAAAGTCTAATCCTATGGAAAATATTTAAAACTACTAGTTGCTTTTTAGAAGTAGATTCAATAATCTAACTTCTTATCTCATCTATATCCTCCCTTTTTTCTTTTCAGAGTAGAGTCAATAATCTATCCTTTTTATGCTATAATATCTATATTCCTTTTTTTTTGTTTTCAAAACAAAAATCTTGTCTCTAATTCTCTTTCTTCAACTTTCTTCCTGACTGTAACCAACAATATCCTGTAACCAATCCTCCTAAACAATGACAGATATCTACAACCTATTGAATGACCAGAAAACATCCACCCCACCTGTTGGGAATGTGAGCATTATGTTCTTAAAATTACTTCCTGCTGTCTAGGGGTGACAGCATCTTTAGGGGATCCTAAAAAGAAAAATTTGGGTTAATTATCAAGCTGTATCATTTTTGTCCAGTCTCTGCATAATGAGAAAGTGCAGGGTTTGTCTCAAGTTCTGGCTAGAGTAATCTGTGAGGCTGGATCATCTCAGCTAGTCACTTCAAAATCGTTCTGAGCAGTTGTCTGTGAGGCTGCATCATCTCAGCTGGCCACCTTGAAATTGTTCTGAGCCATTTGTAGACCAAAGACGATCTTTAGTTGGTGTTGTTCATCTTAATGAAGTTGTCATAGTCCTGGTGAATTTTTCATTGTGGGCTCTTATCTCCTTTTATTGTTTGTCTGTATTTAGGTTTTTCAAGACAGGGTTTCTCTGTATAGCTTTGGAGCCTGCCCTGGCACTCGCTCTGGAGACCAGGCTGGCCTCGAACTCACAGAGTTCCGACTGCCTCTGCCTCCCCAGTGCTGGGACTAAAGGTGTGCGCCACCAACGCCCAGCTGTTTGTTTGTTTGTTTGTTTTGTTTTTCTCTGTGTTAACAGTCCTGCCTGTCCTGAAACTCACTTTGTAGATGATGCTCATCTCAAACTCACAGAGATCCACCTGCCTCTGCCTCCCAAGAGGTAGGATTAAAGGCCTGTGTCTCCACTGCCCTACTTGGATTCAGTCTTCTTTCCCTTTCTTGG